CCTGAGCCCTGGGGGTTGGGGTCCACAGGGTCTGTTGTGGGGGGGGGGGCAGAGAATGCTGTGCAGTGACTGGTCTGTCCCCAGCGGGTCACCGTTCGGCAGGGTGGTGAGGTGTGGGCAGTGCCCAGGTCCTGGGGAATGTGGTGCAGTCCCCACGGCGGGTAGCTCATTGCTAGTCCTGCAGTGAGAACACACAGTGGCCTGGGCTCCTGGGCGTCTCGGAGGACTCCCGTGCACCCAGACACACAGCAGCTTCCTCTGCTCAGCCTTCTGCTCAGCCTCTCCTGTCTCTGGCCCTGCGCATCCTCCACACCGCAGTGCGCCTCTCATAGTTCCCATCTCCCTCCCGGTCCCCTCGCTCCACCTCCCACCTCTCCGCTCCCCTGTTTCTCTGTGTCCTCCCATCTCTGTCCTCATTTCTCTCTTTGTCCTCTTTCTCTGTGCTCCCTCTTTGTCTCACTGTCTCTGTGTTTCTTCCTCTCTCTCTCTCTCTCTCTCTCTCTCTCTCTCTCTCGTTCTGTCCATATCCCCATCTTTCTGCAACCGCCCAAGCAGCAGGAGCCCCCAGCCTCCTCCTCAATCCCCCACCGCCTGCAGGGCCCTGGGGTCTCCAGCCGGCTGGAGCGGAGGGAGCGCTTGGAGCCCACCTATCAGCTGTCCCGCTGGACTCCAGTCGTCAAGGATGTGATGGAGGTACCACGGGTGGGGGTGGGCCCTGGGAGGATAGGGGCTGAGGCCTCACCTCTCCTGCCCCCACCGAGTCCTGCACTGATCCAGGCATCAGCTCAGCCCCCTCATGCTCAGAGCCTTGGGGCATCATGAAATATCCCTTATTACAGGCATCCCCAGCATCTAGTCTGCTCTGCCAGGGGGTACCCCAAACCCACACCCAAGGAATTGGGGCAGCAGAAGGGCCCCTTGTGGGAGGGCTCAGCTTCTCTCCACCCACCGGTGCCTCCTGTGACCCTCTCCACCCCCTAGTCTCTCCCCCTGTCTCTGGGAAAGCCCCCTCCCCATGCCTCCCCCCTGCCCATCCTCGGCACTAAAAGCAGCAAAAAGAAAACGGGTCGGGTCAGGGCCGGCTTCCTGGCTCCCAGCCTGCTGTCCCTGCGGAGTCCTGGCACTCCCACATGCTCGGGGCCAGTGACCTTGACTCCTCCAAGGACCATGAGCACCTGGTGCCTGGGTCTCTGAGGGGCACTGGAGTCCAACAAGGACAGAGGGTCCAGACTCCTAGGTCCCCGAGGGGATGGAGAGGCAGATGGTGGCTCCTGTCTGCCCGGATCTTGGCTCCTGAAACACCTAGTGAGGGATTCCAGGGCCTGGGCCCCATTGCCTGAAGCTTCTCTCCTAAGCCTCCCTTTCTGGCCCCAGGATGCTGTGGAGGACCGGCTGGACCGCAAGCTATGGCCCTTTGTGTCTGACCCCGCCCCCATGCCAAGCTCTCAGGCTGCAGTCAGGTGAAGGTGTTAGGGTTGCCCCCTGCTGGTGCCCAGGCCCGTTAGTTGAGGGGCGTGGGGGGTGTCTCCTGCCCAGACTGACCTCTGCCCTCCCCGCGTCCCACCCACACAGTGCCCGCTTCGGCCACTGGCACAAGAACAAGGCTGGTGTGGAGGCCCGGGCAGGGCCCCGGCTCATCATCTACATTTTGGGCGGCGTGGCCATGTCAGAAATGAGGGCCGCCTACGAAGTGACCAGGGCCACAGATGGCAAGTGGGAGGTGCTGATTGGTGAGTAGCCAGGACTGGGGTCCCTGGGCTGGGGTGGGACCGGGAGCCTGACTCCCCCGTGCCTGGGTCCCTCGGGCTGGGGCAGGACTCCCAGGTCCTTTAGGAGGTGGGCCTGACAGCTGGGTGCTTAGCGCCCACCTCTTCAGAGCTCGCACCTGAGAGCCCCGGATGAGGGAAGGGGCCTGGGTTCCCCGGGAGGGGTCAGCCGGGGCTGGGTCCCTGTGTGTACACGGGGTGCTCAGAGTCAAGGCCTGGTCTCCCAGGGAGAGCCTCCCTGGCTGGGAGGTGTCAGGGACCGAGGCATCGACCCCAACCCTCCCTCCTGCCCAGGCTCCTCACACATCCTCACTCCAACCCGCTTCCTGGACGACCTCAAGATGCTGGACCAGAAGTTAGAGGACATTTCCTTGCCTTGACCGTCCAGGCCCACCCTGACCTGCACCCCTCCCTTTCCAGAAAAATAAAGTCCTCTTCTGTCTGGGGCCAGCACCCATCTGCTTCCTTTCCGAGGGTGCGGTAACGGGCCGGCCTCCGCGGCCTGTGCCCAGCCCCGTCACACCCTGCGGTCCTGCCAGGGGACATCTGGAGCCGAGTGGAGGTGAAGAACTTGGGCTCTGGTTTGAATAGTATCTCCCAGACAGACTAGTTGTTAGGTCCTGGCCCATTTGCTGGGCTCCCCTTCCCCAAAATGGGGCTGGCGATGCCATGCTCTGCAGAGGAAATAAGAGATGGTGGCAGAAAGCTGATGGGTGACGGTTGCTGTTCCTCCAGTGTCACTAGAGTGACCTCGACGGCTCCAATGGGAGCAAACACAGTGCTCCCTCCCACGCCCCTGGGAACTGTCCTGAGAGGCTGCAGCCCCACAGGCTGGGGTCCCCTCCAGCTCCCAGGATCAGACTGCATTTACGTGAGGGCGAGCACACAGCAAATCATGCCTGACTCCCACCCCAGCAAGTTAGAATTCTCCCTTCACCCTCCTCCTCACCCCAGGGTGTCCCCAGGGGCTCCTAACTGCAGACTTATCAGAGCCTTTACCGGAGGTGTGCCTTGCCTAGGACTGCCATAACCAAGCCCCACATTCCTGGTGACTCCCACAACAAAGCTGTCTTCTCCCGGCTGAGCAGGCTGGAAGCACAAATGAAGGCGTTGGCAGGGTTGGCTTCTCCTGAGGCCTCTCTCCTGGACTCCTAGACAGCTGTCTTCTCTCTGCGCCCCCCTCCCCCCTGGGCCCCCCCTCTGAGTGTGCCCTCATCTCTTTAAAGGGCACCGGCCGTATTGGACTGGGTCCCGCCCTCACGACTTCATTTTAACTTGTCTCTTTAAAGGCCTTTTAAATACAGTCACATCCGAGGTACTGAAGGTTGGGGCTTCAACATGTGGATTTTAGGGGGACACAGTTCAGCCCAGAACACTCAGCTGAAGTGAGATGTGAGTCAGCAGCACTAATAGGACAGATGAAGACACTTGTCTCGGTGCAAATGCATAGCCAGGCAGACGCCGGCGGAGGGGTCTGTGGGAGGCCAGCCGGACAGTCAGGGAAGGCTTCCTGGAGGAGGTAGGTTTGAGCGGAGAACGAGGAGGAGTCAGGGAGGGGAGGAGAGGGCACCGCGGAGGCAAACGCAGGAGAGTGGAATGAAGCCGGAGGGACGGTATCCAGAGGCCAGGGCCTGGCCGGTGGCGGGTGAGCTGGGTGTGGCTGCCCCTCCCCGCCCCGGAGAGCGGCTCATGTCACTCGGTCACCCCGGGGGTCAGCCCTGGGCTGTAGCCCGCACTGGGCTGGGACCGGGCGGGACACCCAGGACCGTTCTTTCCTGCTGCTGAGGACTTGGCCCTGAAGTTGGAGCCAACGATTCTTTTCAGAATTCGGGGGCCTAAGGCCACTTTTCCTAGAAGAATCGCACGCACAGTGCGTAGGTGGGGCTGGGGAAGCCCTGAGTCCGCCCCAGCAATTCTAGGGTTTATGACTCCAACCAGGGCAGGAGGGTGGTGTGCAAAGTTGTCGCGTGTGTGTGTGTGTGTGTGTGTGGGAACGTGGGTCGTACCCACCCCTGAGACGGCTCCCGTGGATGCACGGCTCCTGGCGAGGCTTCGGCACGGAAGCGATTTAACTGGCATTAAACTCGCCTCCCTGGGAAGGGGCCGTTTTCCTCCAGGACCGCTGGTGTAGGTACGCGCTGTGAACACCAGGGGGCGCTGTGCCCCAACTTCCCGCTTTCTTTGCGCCTTTGCGGCTGCACCCGGAGCTTAGGTGACTCCAATTAGAAACACCGGGTAAGAAGGTCAGGGTGTGCTCAGTAATTAAGCCGCAACAAAACTCTGTTGCATAGCCGCCTTGCCCTTTGCCCTTTTTTATACCCAGGTATGTCTCCGACCTAAGGATATTTTGATTATATGAGTATTCGTGAGCCCCCATGGGCCACAGCCGCCTTCGGTATCAGGCTGACAGCGTCCCAGGTGTCATGCCAGGCCCTCCACACCCATGACCCAGAGTCCTCAAAACGTTCCTATGAGAACAAGTGCCAACCTCCCTCTGTCTGCGCCCTGTGAAGTCCCCTCCCCAACTCCATTTCCCATTGATCAGTCAGTCACAGCTGCTCCCGCAGCGCGAGGGGCCCTGCCACGGGGCCTTTGCACCTGTTGTTCTCCTTGCCTGCAAGGCTGTTCCTCCAAATTTTCCCATCCCTCCCTCCTCCCCATCTTAGTTCCAATGTCACCACCTTCGAGAGGACTCTGCTTTACTTCCTCAGGGGCACGTCTTCTTTGGGATTCTCCGCCCATCCTGGGGAATGGTCCCCTTCCTGGACTTGACTGGTTGCTTCCTTGTGATCTATAGCTTCTTCCTTAGGATTCACCCATCCCAACCGATGAAGCGGTACCTTTAGTCTCCACCAGCTCTCCACATGGGGATGTTAGCAGCCATCAGTTCTCGCCACTGGACCCATGATCTCTTGACGATGATTTCCAGCCTTACATTCCTTCTGCTGAGGTGAACTGAGGTCCTTCTCAAAAGAACTGCCTCTCAGCAACTAGGGGGTTTGTATGGAAACCCACTAGTTGTATGATTTATGTTCTTACTATTCAAGATCCCCAGGAGGCAACTGGACACATGAGCTCGCCAGGGAGGCTTGAGGTGGGGCAGATCTCAGGGTCTCCAGTGGTCACATTATAAGCATACTAGAGGCCTGGTGCACAAAAATTTGTGGACTAGGGGGGGCGGGTGTCCCTCAGCCTGGCCTGTGACCTCTCGCAGCCTGGGACCCCTCAGGGGATGACCACCTGCTGGCTTAGGCCTGCTCCCCGGGGGATTGGGCCTAAGGTGGCAATCAGACATCCCTCTGGCAGCCCGGGAGCCCTCGGGGGATGTCCACTTGCCAGCGGGGAGCAGGCCTAAGCTGCAGTCGGACATCCTTAGCGTTGCTGAGGAGGTGGGAGAGGCTCCCACCACCACCGCTATACTGGCAGCCATCAGCCTGGCTTGTGGCTGAGCAGAGCTCTCCCTGTGGGAGTGCACTGACCACCAGGGGGCAGCTCCTGCATTGAGCATCTGCCCCCTGGTGGTCAGTGTGTATTATAGTGACCAGTCATTCCCAGTCGTTCTGCTGTTAGGGTCAATTTGCATATTACCCTTTTATTATATAGGATAGAGGCCTGGGGGCTGGCTGGTTTGCCCTGAAGTGTGTCCCAGATCAGGGTGGGGGTCCCGCTGGGGTGCCTGGCCAGCCTGGGTGAGGGGCTGAGGGCCATTTTCAGGCTGGCCACAGCCCCTTCAGGGTGAGGGGTCCCACTGGGGTGCCTGGCCAGCCTGGGTGAGGAGCTGATGGCTGTTTGCAGGCTGGCCAAGCCCCCAAGTGGGGACCCTCACCCCATGGGGGTGTGGCCAGCCTGGGTGAGGGGCTGATGGCCGTTTTCAGGCTGGCCACGCCCCCCAGCAACCCAAGCTCCCAGCCTCTCCTTTTTTTTCTTTCTTTTTTTTCCCTGGGATTTATTTATCTTCTATAATTGAAACTTTGTAGCCTTGAGTGTAGCCCAGGGCCAGCCAGGGTAGGCGGGAATCTTGGCTTTCTCTGTCGCCAGGGGCAACCCAAGCCTCCAGCTCCGTGGCCACCGCCATCTTAGTTGGGTTAATTTGCATACTCGCTCCTGATTGGCTGATGGGCATGGCTTGTGGGTGTGGTGGTGTGATGGAGTGATGGTTAATTTGCATCTTTCTCTTTTATTAATGTAGATAGGCAGCACTCAGGAATTACTAGCTGACATAGTAATAATATAATAATGTAGATTATAATAATATATTCTTGACATAATAATGTTACGATTATTTAACACTCTAATGGGGGCAGCCCTGGGCTGGGCAGTGGTTCCCAGTGTGCTAGGAAATAGGTCCACAAGTGAGAAGAAAGGTTTACTCAGGCTAATGTCCATGCTTTGGGCAGTCTGAAGGGCTTCTGGGATGGAGTGAGCACCCATGTTCTTGAGGTCAGGAACACATTCCAGGACGGGAGTGCCCCACCCGTGCTATCTATGCAGGGGCTCCTTCTAGAATAATATCCAAGTAACAGGAGGGAAAGATCTGCGGTCTTGAACTGCTCGACCTGAAAAATGTGAGGGTCCTGGGCCAGCTGGAGCTGCCAGATGTGCCAGGCGATGGGACGGGGAAACCTGGGAGGGGCCCCGGGGGAAAGGGAGCAGAAAAAGACATGCCCGAAGTCTGCAGGGAAAGGAGGCTTTGTGCTCCCAGGCAGGAAAAGGAAGTGACTGTGAGTTAATCGTTAGGGTTTTGGCCAGAGAAGAGATAGATGCAGAGAGAAAGTTTATTTTACTTTCCCTGAAGAGAAAGGGCCAGTGTATTGCTAATCAATACAGAGGCAGGTAGTAAACAGAGGCCTACTTTTTTAAAGAGTAATGGCTGCTGTTGCTAGGTGACAAGGAAGGGAAGGGGATTTGGGGCTGAGACAGTCTGGCAGCTGTCCTAGGGAGGTGTCCTGTCAGTATTTTTCCCAAGCCTGTAAAACATGCTTAGAGCAAAAATTATGAAGAGTTCAAAAGAGGCTTGTTTGAAGGGGGTGGAGGGGGGGCTTTCTATTAACTAGTGCGAATTATCCCTGAGTTGTAAAATAGCAGGGAGGAGGGGTACGCAAGAATGTAGCCTTGAGAGCAGCTTATCTTGTCTTACAGTTTAAACTGAGGGGCTGTTTGAATCAGAGGAGCTAACAATCTTGGGGTTTAATTACCTACGTGCTTCTCATAAATTGTGGAAGGCCACAGCAAGGGAAAAGAGGCCTTTTTCTTGTCCTCACACTCACATGAATGAGCCAAAGAAAGCTTGTGGAAGTGAAGAGAGGGGGAGGCCAGCGTCCCAGGGGAACCCAGACATCCAGGAAACAAGGCAAACTTCCTGTTTTTTGGGGGGTTTTCTTGGTTTTTGTTTTGTAAAGTTGCTCAAAATCTTAAAACACAAGTTAACCAACAGTTACAGCCAAAGA